CCACTAATCCATTATAAAAAGTTTAAATTATTAACCAATCTGGTAACGAATGATGAGGACACTTGCTAAAAAATCTTTAAATCTCTCTCAAGCTTCATATATTGACTCTCCATCAATCTGACAGAATGATGTTATGTTATTTCTAAGTTTAGCAGTTTTGGATGGTGGGAAATATTTGGATAGAAATTTTTGTGACAGTTCTCCCCAAGTTCTAATAGATCCTGGTGCTAACAAATTTTACCACATCTTAACCTTATCCCTCAGTGAAAAAGGAAAAAGTCTAAATTTAACAACATTGTTTGAGACTCTATCATATTTAAAAGTAGCACACAGTTCTAAAAAACTAGCGAGGTGTAAATTAGGATCTTCATTTGCAGTACCTCTGAATTGATTGTTTTGTACCATTTGGATAATAGTAGGTTTAAGCTCAAATGAATTAGCAGCTACATCAAGATTTTGGCTAGATAAGTGAATTTCATCTACTGTAGGATTTGCATAATCTTGTAGGGGTCTAGGTTAGTGTTCATTCTCTATTCCTTGATTATTCATGTTATTTTTCATTATATTAGAATTTCTAGGTTCTCTTCTCAATCTTCTAATATTTCTAACAGTGCGTTCTAATTCCAAATCGTATGGTATAAGATTGTCAGGTCCAAATTTACGCATACAATTTTGAAATCAGTACACAATAATAAAATTAACTAAATATGAAAATAAATTGCAATTCAAGTAAAAATTTTCTAATAATTCTAATTTGTTCGTTACTGTAATTGTGATTTTTTGTTTACTCACTCCTCGACAACTGCGCCAAAAACTTGACCGTGACTTTATATATGCTTAAAAATAGAAGTATTTAATACTGCTGCTAAAAGATTTAATTCCTCAGCAACGGTACCAAAACTTAATAACAGTTATAGATTCGATAAATATGGATGTAATAAATATTGATAACAATTATAGATTCGATAAAAATGTATATATTAAATATTCAATAATGGTAAAATCACACTTATCAACGCAAGTATATGTATCGCTCAAGTAATATAGGGCTCTAATGGAGTCCTAGATATCGATCCCACAGGGAGTAATATGAGAACTACGAACTAAGATTTTAGAAAAGCAAAACTTAATCACAACAATATAATTCAAAATGCTTATCTATCACTAATAGGCGATTGAAATAAATATGTAATTTTGATAACTATTAAATAACTAATTATATTAATAAAGTTTCTAACGTGATATTGAATATATAAGAAAGCATCCTTCTCATTGTCAATAAATTATAGTGAATGGATAAAGTGAATCAGTTCAAATTGTATTGTGTCAAATGGGAGCATACATATTTTTTAACCTTTGGTCTAGGCATAAAGAACATTGACTAATTCTATGCTTTTTTTACTAAATCTGTGGCTAGGCTGGGTGGATACCGGCTCTCACTTTGGAGCTCCCACGTTTCCCTCGCTTGAGGGCTAACATCTACACTTTAGCACCCAAACGATAGGACTGAATTGAGGATTTTAGTTTGTCACTCTAAAATTTCTAATTCTACGCCCGATAAATTTATTTTCTATTTATTTGCACCCAACTTCCAAGGGCTTTGACCTCCCTGAATCTTGGATGTAATCTTCACTTTAGTTGTAAAACTCAACATATTTTAACAAATCAATTGGCCATATTTAAAGTAAATTAAGATCTAAGTGAAAAAAATCATCACAACTTCTTTAACATTTTCAAGGCTCAACCAATTCAAATCACCATTTCACAAATCTCAAGACAAGGAGAAATATAAAGAAAACTACTCAGAACTCATGGGGAGGACACAACGAAACTCGAAATTCATATATAAAAGTAAAGTCATACAAACAATAACAAGTAAATAACACTTATCTCTAACTTATCCCCAAGAAATCTCCTTAAAGTACCTCTAAATCTCTTCCTTTCTTTATAGCACACAGAATTCCTCTTCGAAGCAGCAAGGAGGAAGAAATCTCTCACTTTCCCTCCACTCTTACAATCTCTCGAAGAATTCCTCATAATTTTTTTACACTCTAGCAAACACTAATGGAACCTTTCTAACCTCCAGGAACTCTAGAGTCTTCTCAATTTTCATCCAAAATCTTCTTTTAATGTTGTGGATGAGTTTTTCCAAGAGTTGCCTAAGCATCCCTTCAAAATAGTTGGCAGACCTTCTTAATGAATTAATTCTAGAGTCTCACTCTTGGGAAAAACCCACCGTCGGCGGCGTCAAGCTCGCTGTCGGCGCCCAAGATCAAATCTTGACATTTTGGCCCTTTTTGCTCCAAATTCATTCCTTTTTGCATCTTTTTGCTCCAATGACCCTAATTCATCATTCTTGCATCAAAACATCAAAAATACCTTTCTTTAAAGTGCAATAACATAAAAAATAATATAAAATAGGTATGAAAATCTCAACATATTTTCCTTTGGTCAATTGCCTATTAGTGACAGATAAACAAATACTGAAGGCACACTTTAAGAGATTAAACTTGAGATTATATTACCATAATCATTCGAAAACGGTCCTCAAATCATATAAATGGACTATTCTCTATTTACTTTTGATGACAAAATCATCCAAGTAGCATTCCACTTGGTCATGAATGAGCTCATCAAAGATCTTTGTCATAGCTCATTGATATGTTTCTTTGACATTCTTCAACCCGAATGACATTACTATGTAGTAGAAAATCTCAATCAGCGTCTTGAAAGCTGTAAGTGTTGCATCTTCTGGAGCCATTTTGATCTGATTATATCCTGACGATCCATCCATGAAGGAGAATATCTGTGTCGAAGCAATGTCCACTGTCAATTCTGGTATCAGTTGTGCAAACTCATCTTTTGGACACGCTTTATTTAAATCCTTGAAATTGACAAAAACTCTGATTTGTCCATTCTTTTTCTTAACTGTTACAATGTTGGCTAACCACATGGGGTATTGATCTTCAAGCACAATGTTGGCTTCTTTACCTCGGCAATGACTTGTTTCTCTATCTTGAGACGCATCCTTCTGGGAGCTTAAGCAAAGAATTCTTTAAAATTTGAAAATAACTTTATCAATTATGTGGATTCTTTCTTGCTTAGCAAACTTATGAAGGTGAGTCGAGACTACTCCTCAATCCTGAGGTTGACTTCTTTCAATTCATTAATGGTTGATTTAATTTATTCTTCAAATTTTGGTGAAGCATCATCTATCAGCTGATCTTAAGAGTCATGCTCTACATCAAGACAATCCTCTTCCAATCTACTAGTAACAACCATGCAAAATTTTGAGTCATCGACTGGTCCTATAGTACCACATCCGAGACCTTCAATCGAATTAGGAGTTTGATTTTTAACATTCCACAATTTCTCAAAGAGTTTTAGCTTATCTTTTGGAATTTTCTTTAACACATATCCCTGTTGAATTAATTTTTGTACACAAGGAGAAAAGTAACCAAAAGGTAATTCCATTAATTCATTAGAATCATCTTCCAAATTTGCATGATTTTTAGAACTAGTAGAAGGGAAGACCAGTTGAACTTGATTGGCTTCAAACTAACGCTACGGACTTTGTTAACCTCTAAACTCTCAACCTTTCGAGGGTGGATTGGAAAAAGGGTCATGACGTACAAGTAGTGGTTGATCCGATCATACATCAACTCATATTCACTTTTTCTCCACATCTTCCAAGAAAATCTTGATATGAGGCTTCTTCTGTTTCGTCATCATTATTTCTTCATCGGAGCTTTCTTTATCAAAACTGTCTTTCATGTTGATGTTGATGGTCGGCCTAGTATGTTCAACAATTGTGTTGGTTCTTCTTCGTCCACATCCCCGACCTCGGCCTCGAGTTTATGGGCTAAAAATACCTCTACCAGCTTGTTGAGAAGAAACAGTGTAGATCGTTGAAGTGGAGTTGAATAACATTGCTCTTGTGATCTTTCTAAACCTTTTATTTCATTCGTTGCGACTATACGGGAGAAGACAGTCTACTTTGAAGGTGTGTAGTAAGCAACGTCTTTGGGGATGCCTACTTCATGCACTAAAAATGATTGTAAATCCCATTTAATGTAATGCTCTTATCCTTTCTTGAAATACATAATGCATTGATGTAGAGATTATGGAACCATGTTATGCTTTTGAATCAATGGTCAATCCAGTAAAGCATTGAAAGAGGCCTCTGCGTTGATGATATGAAATTTTGTGGTTGTTACTAGCTCTCCAACCTTGATTAATAGTGTAATCAATCCAAGGGCACTTTCTCCCTCCTTGTTAAAACCTCCTAACATCATCTTATTGGTTGCAAGCTCCTGATCCTTAATATCCAAGTATGCCAACCTCCGTAGACTCATCAAGTTAAGTGACGCTCCAAGATCTACCAAAACTATGGACAACACAAATTTATTGATACTAACAGAGATGTAAAGTAGTCGGTTGTGATCGGTGATGTCGAGCAACAAGTCTTCATCTGTGAAGGTTATCCCAGACTATTCCTTTAATGAACTAACTTCATCCAAGGATGTGCTGACCAACTGAGCTAAGTAAATTTCTAGGTCAAGCAAGGCTGTAACTATAGACTCTCTCATTTCCTTTGATAGGATCAGAGCATCGTAGATGCTTAGTTTGGTTGGAAACCTCCTAAGATGAGCTAGTTTGTTATAATTCACTTTTAATAATCCTCCAATCTTTTCTTAGTTGTGTGACTCTTCCACTGGCAAAGGCAGAGGTGGCTTTTTGTGAGTGACTATTTGTTTTCCTTTATCAACTGGAGTTGTTCTTGGAGGTAATACCTTCCCACTTTGGAGGTAATACCTTCCCACTCTTCCCACTTCTTAAATTTATTTATATAATTTCTTCTTCTTCTTCTTGAGATGTTGTTGGCAAGACTTCGGTGTTTCCTCTACATCAGAGAGATCCAAGTTAATGGTAAGTGGTGTATCATGATGCTCGATGATTGGTTCCTCACTCCCAGATTTATCATAACTGGTGTTGTCGATATCTTCTTCATTCTCATTGTCATGTTCATTGGGCTTAAGTACCATTTGAGGATTAGTTTGAGAATCAAGATCAGAGTTAGATTGGTCAAAGTCAGCTAAGTTATCACTAGAGATAGTTAGAACGTAGTCAAAATCATAATCATTATATTCATAAGACCCCGGTGGGGCAAACAGATAATCATACATGGTCAGGGGTTAGAGTTCAAAAATTTTCTCCCCCCGAATGCGAGAAAACCAATCTAACAAAGGCATTCCCATGCTATCAGTCTTCATGATGATGTTCTTCATCTTCTCCAACTACGAAGATTTCTCTGGTGAAATCTCTAACTTAGGCTGAGTAGGATGTAGACTCTAGATGGTTGTCTGTGCTTCTAGTCCAGTATCTTCTTAGATGATTTACTCTAAACTGTACTCCATCCATCTTTCTCTGAATACAGATCTATCAGAGTGATTGGCTCAGCCGAAATAATATTCAAAGAACCTCTTTCAAGTTCTTTTAAATATTTTTTTGGCATTGTTATATTTCCTTCTTTAAGATTACTCTTGAGCTACTCTTTGAAACTAAAGTAGCCCTCTATTGCGTGTCCCAACAACCTGTGATAGGGGAAAAAATTGGGATGATCCTTCTTGTCAACTTCCTCTAACTTTTTTGGCTCTGGTAATATGAATTTGGGCTTCTTCATTAAATTTATAAATATCTTTGACACAGGTTCATCCTTAAAAGAATACACTCTTTTCATCTGATCTTAAAAGGTCAGACACTGTCTACCATCTGTCTAATATGGTCCTCTTTGAGAAGACTACTGATTGGGTTGATCGTACCATTGCTACTATTGCTGAGATTGAGTATATTGCGGTAACGGTCGGGAACTTTGAAGTGAATGTTCAGCCCGAATCCTCATCGGCTGCTTCCCTTTATCAACTGTTGCTAATGTTCTGGACTTCTTTTCGAATACTTTGGTTGTCTTGGACTTTCCTAATTTTTCTTGAGAATCCATCTGCTTGACTTCTTCTTGTAGACTGTTGGCCTTGCTTAGTGGTTTCTCGAAGGATTTGATGGTGAGTCCAGTAAGCATGAAGGCTACCGGTCCATGAATGCTTTTGAGTAGAATCTCAATCGCATGATGTTCCTGTAGCTGAGGTTCGCAATTCATGCTTAGGTTTCTCCACCTCAAGATATAATCCACTAAAGTCTCCTTAGGCTTTTGACTTTCCACTACGATATCTCCAATAGAAAAATGATGTTGTGCTCCAGTAAATCTCTTCACGAACAACTATTCCAATTTGGTGAATGTATTTACTGATCCATTGAGCAACTCAGCATACAAATCAAATGTGATTTCTGATAGGCTACTGACAAACTGATGGAAGAGAAAGGCTTCATTGCCCCCAGTGTTGCCACAGCTGGCTCGGAAATGTGTTACATGTTGTCTGGGACTTCCAGTCCCATCAAATGCCTTGAAATTTGGTGACAAAAAACCCTTAGGGTAGGGCATTACATCGAACTCCTCTGAGTAAGGTCTACCCTTTAAAATCAATGCACCTCCCTTAGATTGAGCTAAGGCCTCTCAAACTTATTGTTTGACCAACTGCTTAATATCTTTTTCCGGTATTACACTTGGTGGGGAATCTTTCTTTTGTTGATCATCTCTGTTGGCAGAGAAAACTTCTCTCCTCTCATCGGTAATGTAAACTATCACTGGCTGGTTGACTTTTTGGAGAAGCGAACTGCTGCGACTAGGATTGTCTATGAACTGTAGCCATGGCGGTCATGGTGGTGGCCATCTCTTCCAATCTCTTCTCCATCTAAATGATCTATTCATCTCTTAACAAAATAGTTCTATGCAAATCATCTACGGTGTTTCCTTCAATAAGAGGTGGGGCATCGCACGCAGATGAAGTGGCTTTAGTTTCGATGACATTAACATCCATGAAAACTTCATTGAGATAATCGTTAAAATTAAAATCTTCATCATCCATATCTACTCCATGTTCTTTGGCTAACTCAAAATCTCGGCCACTAGTTTTTTAACTTTTTCTTCAATTATCACTTCTTGGATTATCTTGAGATCTGGAGGACTCTCCTGAACATCCTTACTCTGTACATCAAACTCGGTAGCGACGGGTGCAACGACACTTGATACTTTGGACCTTTGCTTCATTCCAGAATCTTTCCCTGCAAGCTCACATAACTGTATTGGTATGGCAACCTTGGTTACCCATATCTTCTTTTCTGATAATGATTTCTTGAGATGAGGTGTCCCAACGGAGGTATTGGTGCATCAAAAAGAGGTATGCTCCCCGCAGTGCCAACCAAGTACAACACTGGGTAACTTCTTTACTTTTTCCTTTCTTGGAACACTCTCATGAGCAACAACTGGTGGTATCCTCGAACCCAGATGTGACTTGGCTGGTTGGCGTCCTGCAGAACCTGGAGCAACAGTGGTAACAAAATCAATAGTACTGACTGCAGTATCAACTCATCCCCCTAGACGAAATCTAACAGGAATGTGAGCTGGCAAAATTTCAACTGATTTTCGAGACTGTCGGGCAGTCTTATCATCTTCATTCGGGTGGATATCGTGCATCCCACTCGCTTAAGTAGCTTAACAACTGAACAACCTTCTTTAAGAGCTAATCTCTGAAATACTTACGGACTTTAGTGATATGATTTGGTTTCTCTCTCTCCTCATGACTATGCAGCAATGATCTTTTAAATACTTTCATATGCATTAGTATCCGTTAATGGGTGAAACCTACTCCCTCGCAGAAGCAGAGAGGTCTCAAGTATTCTGTGTTCCTCTTAGTAAGGAATCTCATCAACAGATACTTTCTCTAGAATTTAGACTTTGGTAGCCCTCTGAATCCTTCAACTACGATTTCTTCTCTAAGACCAGGGCAATGGTACGTACTTTGAAATAGATCCTATTTCAAATACTAATGGCAGGGTGGTAAATCCTTCAACTATATCTTCAACGATCATAATTTCCTTTCCTTTGGCAAACGAGGTAACAACGGAATTGACAGGCGTCGGAGTAGCAGTAGTCTTCACCTTCTTACAGGAAGGAAAATCTTGAGGACAATTTGGGTTAAATTCAAGAGATGACTCCTATATTTCCAGAGTGATGGCTTTCATTATAATAAATGGGGCCTTTCCAAGTATGACTTTGAGTTCATCGAATTCGGCTTCAAACTTGAACATGGGGGCAACAATACGGGCATTACGGCTAGTTGACAGGTTGTAGGAGAAGGTGAGAGTCACGAATGTCATTGCAACAGCTTCAAAAGGATAGTTCTAGGGTTAGTATTTGGTCAATAACTTGTAATTCTAGTGCAAAAACTAAAAATTAACAAGGATCGCTCTGTTGACTGGGCAAGTCTTATTTTTATTTAATTTTAATTTTTGAAGACTTTAAGATTTAGTGAGATAAATTAAAAAGTGGGAAAACTTAATTAATTACTCAGGAAGGGTTAAAAAGAGTGCAATGATTTGATTTAATTTGCAAAGCAGCAAAGCAAACCTGAAAAGATACGAGGAAAAGAGTAAAATTTAGTACCCAGTGCGGGACCAACTTCACAACGCACATCACCCAGGTGGAACTAGTCCACCAACACACCTACTGGGGGTCCAACCCCACACAATAGATAAAAGTTCTAATAAACTCCTAAACCTCTCTGTTCGAAGGTGATTGAACAAATAGTCCTGAAGTCCGAAAGAGTTGACCATACTTACCAAAGAAATAAATGAGCGAAGCATGTTAATGGAAGAAGGGCCATAATGGACATGGACAAATTACCGATGTATGAAGATAAGATTCCCTGATCTAAATGGAGAGAGAAATTATTCACCAACGGAGTCACCAGAAGCTGTCAGTCTCCAATTTGGGAAAGAGATATTTGATTTAATATAATGTATATAGTTTTGAAAAGTAATTGTTTAATTTTAAAAATATGAGACCAAACCAATCTCATATAGACGATAGTTTAAATAAATGAGCACAACACTGTAAGTGATACATTAATCCAAAGGAATATACATATTACTTACAAGTAAAGCTTGATTAGATAAACTAAAGAATTTATGACATCCGTTTTAGTATGAAACGTTTATGTTGACTAACAAGTTCCTCTATTTAATATAAAAGATTAAATAGAGTTTATATTAAGCTGGGTTCTTAAGAGTTTTCTATAAGGGAAACCCCCTATAGCTAATTACATCTTAGATAACCAAACTCACCTAAGAAAACTCTAAGATAAGGGAATATTGTCTTCAAGAATTTCAAGGGGTAAGACTTTTCAAAAGATCCGACAAAGAGGTGCGAAATGAGAATGGCTCAAATTTGGAACATTTCATTTTGGAATCCAAAGGAAGAAGAACTAAGGGATGTCATGGATCCTGAGGAGAACCTTGATGAATTCCTAAACTATCTTATAGTTTGGCTTCAATTTTGGAGAGAAAGTTTATTTAGATGTTGCATCATACCAATTTTATAGTTAGGGCTTACACATGTGTGAGACGATCACACAAACAACCTGAAAGAAGTGAGGATTTAGGTCGTGACAAATGACAACCTCGAAAACTAAGACAAGTTAAGGCTTGTAATGCACAACATGATTGTGCAAAGGCCTAAAGATGAGTTGAGAATTTATGTCGCACTTTACGGATAACCTCAAAATCCTACGGCTTGTGCTGTTTTAATTCTATGGAAAGATATACTATTATAGATCCTAGTGTTGTTGTAGATCCATGTGTTGTTGAAGAAGGTTGCCCACAAAGTTAGCTCTCAGCTCCTCAGTGAAGTAACAGTCCTAAAGTCTAAGGTTCAAAAGGTTTAAGTGACAGGTTTAAATTTAATCATAGGGGGAGAGTTAAAGTTGATTAGAGAGACACGGATTAGGATCTCATGGTTCCCTCGTTCAGGTATCACAATTATCTTTGAATTTACTTAGCTTAAACAAGTTGTTACACTTATTTAAACTACGGAGATCTCTTTAGCAACCGTGGGTTACCTCCTCCAAGGGACTCCCGTAAATTCAAATGGACATTTTAAGTTTAGTGACATTTTAAAGTATTTATGGTAACCTTTGAAACAATTTGTTTTATATTTCTGAAAATGTTGTTTAATTTTTGAAAAATGGTTTTGATTTTTACAATTAAAGTAAGGTGAACAACCAAGCAGTTATAA